GCCACTCACACCACTGGTCCTGAAGGGATCATCCACCCTGGATTCCCTGTGTTTCCAGTTCCTATCTGTACCAGTGTACATCCTGTGGTCTAGCTAGATGTAAGGTAGTATTGCGATCATGATATAGTGGGTGGGGAGGAAGCATTTAGGAACTAGAGGAAAGTTGAATGTTTCATCGTTGCTACATTGCACCCTGAATGGCTCATTTCCTCCCTGAGACCCCTATGTAAGGGGATGTCCAGTGACCTACAAATGGGCCTTGGGTCTCCACTCTGCACTTCTCCCCTCATTCACAATGATAATGATTTTTTGTTCTGATGATGCCTGATACCTGATCTCTTCAACACCTCATGATCGCACAGGCTGGTGTGCTTCTTCCATGTGGTTTTGTTGCTTCTGTGCTAGATGGCCGCTTATTTACCTTCAAGCCTTTAAGACCCCACATACTATATCTTTTGATAGCCGGGCACCATCAACTCTCTTTGCCACATTTGCTTATACACCCATTTGTCTTCAGCAATCGTATCAGGGAGGTGAGCACACAATGATAGGATTTTTTTGTTCTTTGATGTCTGATAACTAATCCCTTTGGCACCTCCTGATCGCGCAGACTTGTGATTGCATCAGAAGGTGAGCATCATAGAATGCCAGTTTAGTAGAGCAAAGTATTCTTGCATTGAGGGAGTACTTAAGTGGAGGCCCAATGTCCTTCTGCTACCTTAATATCTAAATCTATAACTTTATGCACATAGATCTATTTCCCCATCCTCATATATAAATATATAAAGACATATTTAAATGTCTTTATTTAGATTTCTATAAATGCCCTCTGCCTCCTAGCTCTTTCCTCTATCTCCTTTGACTTTGCTCTTGTCCCGCTATCCTGTTCAGTCTTCATTTGGGTTTCAGTAATTCCTCTTGGTTTCATTATCCTTGTTCACGCCCTACTAGGCCCCCTACACCCTCCTCACCACCGATTGGGATCACTTGTTGTTCCCTTGTCCCTGCGTGTGTTAACACCACTACCTTTTCCCCCACCTCCCCCTCTCCCATGTCCCCCCTGAACTGTCGGTTCCGTTGTTTTCTCCTCCAGATTGTTCATCCAGCGTATTTTATTTAGACAGACCTGCATTCTCAAGTTCTTACAGTGGATTGTATTCCCTATAATAATAAATAGATGTAGTTCTCAAACTTAATTTTCACTTCCAATGCTTTTGAAATAGCATTAACTGATTTTAAAATACTTTTAGGCAATGATTCAGATTTATTATTGCTTCTGCTTATTGATAAATGGATATATTTACTAAGAATACTGTTAAGAGTTGGCACATTAATGAATAGTAGTTTTTCCAGTTAAATTCTCTAGAGATAATACAGTATGCTAGATAATTTTTTATAAGTAAAGAGAATAATGTCAGTTAATACTATCACTACTCTTTATTCCAATATTTTAGTCATATCTACTATATGCAGGAAATGACTTTAGATGTTTTTATCAGTATTTCTGATATTTTAGAAATAACAACATGTTACATTTATTCTACTTACTATCTCTAAAAGGTGTCAAATTCATGACAAAAGTGTGGAGTTAGAAAATATGGAAAGTTTTTCACCTATTTTTTTATACCCCCTTCCATTTATTTGGTTCATGTAGACTAATAGTCATATTTTTTTCTTTGCAGATCTAGAAGAACAATATATTATTTTAATTTTTCAAACTGGCCTTGATCTTCAGACAAATATGGTGTTTGAAAGTATCATTACTGACATTGGTATAAAGAATAATGTTGCCAATTTTTTTTCCAAAATTCCCTTTGAAGAAGCCAATAGCAGACTTGTTGCCTGTACAAGAACCTATGAAGAAAGTATCAAAGGAAGCTGTGTGCAAAAAGAGAACAAAATAAAAAATGTAAATATTGAAATATCAAAAGTTAAAATAATCAGATTTAAAGAGAATAATTCTTCTTTATAATATTGCTTATTTTGGTCAGATGTGTTTTTTTTAATTTCAAAATTATTAGCTTTTGCACATGATTTGTAAACTGTCTTGTGTTAAAATATTAATGATACCTAGGTAGCAGGTATGATGGGACAGAAATAAATTCATGGATAAAATGGAATGAAAAGGTAAAGAATATATGTGTTATTTCTCAATATAAACTACATCTAGTTACGATGCTAGCCATTTAGTCTTTTTCTAAAGAACTGAGGGACTTAATGTAAGATACAAAAATAATTTATAAATTATTAAGGGTGCATGGGGGAAAGGGAAGGGGAGGGGGGGAAAATTAAAAAAAAAAGGAAAATGAGC